AAAAAAAAAACATATACAATATATATAAGACGCGTAACTTATACTAATTTATATTAGAGAGAAGAAAAAGAATTAGTAAGTAAGTAAAACCAAAAAAAAAACAACATGGTGTAAGTTATGTGAAAATGAAAAAATAAAAATAAAAAATGTGAGCCTTCGTACTTCATGTGGCTTAGTAGTCTATATGATTATTTGCATTATGCATCATCCTTATAAGTGGGGCATTCCTGGAGAAGTTCGATTTATTGGTGGGTATATAAAAATTACACTGAAGCCTAGTGTTACTAGGAATACGAAAGCTAAGTTCTCCAAGTAGTCTTGGGGCATCAACTTGACCTTCGATCAGACGCTGAATAAAAGTGATATCAAAATTATCACGCCTTACAGAAAGGGGAATTAGTCTCAGAACTTGGCTTACTGGCCCATAATCATGTGGCGGATGAGGAATGTTGAGGCAATAACCGGTGAAACGCATAAAACTGTTTTGTACACGATCAATCCGAGAAATGTCAACTGTGGTATATGGTGACCAAACAATAGACCCATATTCAATGACCGAACGGACTAAAGCATTATAAAGAGCTAGAAAGCAGTTGGCAGAACTAAAATTAGTAGAGTGACGCCTTATGAATCCCAAAGCACGAAAGGCTTTGCTGGTCATATAATCAATATGAGGGCTAAAATTAAGAGAAGGTACAAATAAAATGCCTAAATCATGGACCTGGCTAACACGTTGAATAGATATACCATCAAGTCTATAGTCAAAAGATATCACTGCCTTAGAGCGATAGTAAGTCATGACTTTACATTTAGAGATATTAAGAGATAAATTAAACGTACTACACCAATTGGTGAATTTATCAAGGGTGTTCTGGAGAGTGAGGCAATCATTATTTGAGGTAATCGTGTGAAAAATTTTAGAATCATCAGCAAAAAGTAGGAGACGACAAGGGGAAACAACTGAGCACATAGTATTAATGAAAATATTAAATAATAAGGGACCTAAATGGCTACCTTGTGGAACACCGGACGATGCACAGAAGAGATCAGATGTCTTCCCGAAGAGGTTGACAAATTGTTGACGGTCACTAAGGTAAGATCTAAACCATGATAAAATATAACAAAAATATGCTCTTAAAGGAAAAAAAAACAGCTGAATATGCAAAATATGCAAAATAAAAATGATTACTTTAAACTCTTATTACAATGAAACACATTTTTGTATCACTTAGCTACGTTTAAAATGATTATTGAAAAATATGCAAACTTCTATAGGTCCCTAGCTCTAATTATAACTTATAGCAGAAAAAAACGTAAATAAGCACGCATGTAGTTTATTTCGTAACATTTAATGGATCTATTGGAATTCATCAACAATTAACAATAAGTTTAATTTTAATTCAAGTTACAAGTTTATTTATTTATTAATTAATTTAACGTATAAATTGTTCAAATTGTTGTCCTCTGTGAACAAAACATGATTCAGTGCACCGCATGAATTTTTTATTTGTTGCAGAAGTAATTTCTTCATATTTAATAAATAAAATTGAAAATATCAAGCTTTAATTATTTTAGAATAGTTATTATCAGAATTATAGTCAAAAAAATTTAAAATCGCACGCATTTTTGGTGTAATTGCTGTAACTTGATTAATTTTGAACTTAGAAAGTTGGTTTAACTTCGAAAATTGATTAAAAAAATAGGTGAAAAAATAATAAGTAATTAAAATAGGTGGTTGCCATTAAAGAAAAAAAAAAGTTGTACTGATCATGTGTGTGTCTATTTAATTTAAAAATATTAAAAACTCATAAAAATACACATTTTTATGTCATAAAAACCAACAAAAAAATCAGAATTAAAATTGCAGGTCTTTACGCAAAGATATTAAGTGTTCTCAGTTAGCGTTTACACACTGTATAATGCTTGATTTCTAACAAATCACAGAGCGTTTGAGATTATATGTAAAAATTTGGATCGTATGATTTGTATTTTATTTATATGAGTTTTAGTACATTGTACCTAGACCAGGACAGCATATAGAAGTAGATGACGTATAATTTTTGCATTTATTTATAATGAACACTTCCAGCTCAATGAAGTTTGGTGATTTGTAAATGGATATAGTTTTTTTCTAAACGTTTTTAATCGTTGAACAACGAATCTTCTTAGTTGCTTTACCTGTGCCTAGATAGATCTCTAAGTATAACTGTTCTTGAGACTTAAATCTGATTGTAAGTATGCTAATATTTTATTTCTTACCACTAAAATTGTATTGTATAATTAAATAATTTTATCATTGAATCATAGCGCATTCTTATGATGATTAGATTAAATCGAACTACGTTTATATTTATATACATTGACGAATTGTATAAGTAAATAATTAATTAAAAAAGTACAATAAGGATATCAACGTTTAAAAAAACTATATCCATATATCCACAGATGTTAGTGGAGTGAATTTATAGAACTGTAAGTCGTTGACTTGTAAGTTTTCAAGATTTCAAGTAGAATTGTCTATTTTTTTCTAAAATATTGAAAATGTTTTTAGTAATTTTAAATCCTTTATTTTTTGACAGTACATTTTCCAATTTTTTGTAAATAGCCTTTCCTTTTGCTCCTTGTGGATTTTGTAATTTTTTCTTAAAATTTTTCTTTTAACAGTTATTACGACGGAAATAGACTTAAAGAGCATCATGTTTTGTTTTTCCAAACATGTAATATAAGTCGAAAGAAAACTATAGTTTACAGAAATAAATGCCAAGTTTGCTTTTCAATCTGAGTTGTTAAAAATATCTTTAGCTTTTTTTATGCTGCTCAAGTCCTTTTCATCCAACTTGTTAGAAATATTTTTTAATACTTTATAATTCTCACAATAATATTTAACCGCATCCAACCATGTTCCCCGACTAATTAAAATCGGTTGTGGTGGCATTAGGATGTTAGGAGCTTCATTTTTTAATTATATGAGTTCGAAATAGGGCTTTCAAAAATACTTTTTTTACATAAGATATGATTTGGTTAACTATGTTAAAATATGAACGTACTTCTTATGTCACTTGATGAAACCCATGTACTATACATGTTACATGCACCATCTTTGAGTGAAGTGCATGAATTGCCTTACCCAATTCACCATGTACGGCGCAGCGTCCGAAAAAATAACAAGGCATTATCATGTTGAATGCCTTGTGGCCATGACAAATTCATGGATTTATCAGAAAGTTTAAAAATGGTTTTATAACTATTTCTAATTCTTCTGAAATTAACAAAAATATCTCACCCGGTTCGTCAGTCAGTAAAACTCCTATAATAATATTGGCTACGAAGCGACCTTCGATGTCAGTCGTCTCGTCAATAGATACCCATATTTTGTTATTGATACGTGATTTCGTATTTTTTTCTAAAGTATTTTTATAACAGTCATGTACGTAACATTTACGAAGAGTAGCTTTCTTTAGAATTTATTTTCTTGTACACTTTTTTAAAAATTCTTTACATTTTACATTTTCCAATTTGTATAAAGATATATTAGCAAACAACATAGCTTTACATAAATCTTTGTTAAACTGACCTTTTTAATTGGCAGATTAAATTCAAGAAATTATTGATTTTATTTTGGCTTATCAATGCGGTTAACTGACTTGACAAGTTTTTCGGTTTTAAGATATTAGAACACAGTAAAACGTTTTTGAGCACTAACTTTAACTTCACAAAGTTTACAAAATAATAATGATTCATCAATTAAAAACACAGAACTACCGAATTCTGAAACATATGACTGTAGGCGACTACATGTATTTGTTTTTACTTTAGGCATTTTTAATTTAATCTTCAAAAAAAAAAAAAAAAAAAACGACACGAATAGACGAACTATACTAACGTAAGACAAAAACACATTATCAGTTGTGTATTAGATGGTATACGGGGATATACGGCGTATACCCAATACGCTATTTTTATCCATGGCATATAGCGTACGATAAATTGATGATACGCAGGTATATGGCCGTATCTAGCGTATAGCTTGTAATTTGACAAATAACTATATAATTCCTCGACTAACCTAACTTGTGGTTATATTTATGACGTAATTCGGTATCGGATATGTTATTGTTATTATTTTTTTTTATGATTTTTATCATTTAACAACAAGTTTTTGTTATCAAACAGTCCATATATAAGGATGTGTAGTTCATGAGTGAGTTTTTTTTGGTTCTTGCCATATGATAGTTACTACATGAAATAATGTATATACCTACCCATGATTTATTTTAGCAATACATCACTATATACATTTTGTTTGTATTATGATACAAACAAATAAACGAATTAACATCAACTGACCATATTCGTCGTACTTCTTATCGACCGACACACACTAATAATACACAAATAATTGGGAAAACACAGTATACACACACACGGTATAGATTATATAATCATTTATATTTATTTTAAATTTATATCTATTTTTTTTCTAATTTCTAGAAAATTCTATAGAAATAATGTTGTATGTACATATGTATAAAATATTGTTTTCTGCAGATTATTGTTTTAATTTTAATAAAATATGTGAAATATGTTCTTAAAATAGAAATATTATATTATTATTATTATATTATATTATAATCAACGCCGGACGGCTTTTACAAAATTACAGACAAGAAGTACATAGATAACAGTAAAAAAAAAAACATATACAATATATATAAGACGCGTAACTTATACTAATTTATATTAGAGAGAAGAAAAAGAATTAGTAAGTAAGTAAAACCAAAAAAAAAACAACATGGTGTAAGTTATGTGAAAATGAAAAAATAAAAATAAAAAATGTGAGCCTTCGTACTTCATGTGGCTTAGTAGTCTATATGATTATTTGCATTATGCATCATCCTTATAAGTGGGGCATTCCTGGAGAAGTTCGATTTATTGGTGGGTATATAAAAATTACACTGAAGCCTAGTGTTACTAGGAATACGAAAGCTAAGTTCTCCAAGTAGTCTTGGGGCATCAACTTGACCTTCGATCAGACGCTGAATAAAAGTGATATCAAAATTATCACGCCTTACAGAAAGGGGAATTAGTCTCAGAACTTGGCTTACTGGCCCATAATCATGTGGCGGATGAGGAATGTTGAGGCAATAACCGGTGAAACGCATAAAACTGTTTTGTACACGATCAATCCGAGAAATGTCAACTGTGGTATATGGTGACCAAACAATAGACCCATATTCAATGACCGAACGGACTAAAGCATTATAAAGAGCTAGAAAGCAGTTGGCAGAACTAAAATTAGTAGAGTGACGCCTTATGAATCCCAAAGCACGAAAGGCTTTGCTGGTCATATAATCAATATGAGGGCTAAAATTAAGAGAAGGTACAAATAAAATGCCTAAATCATGGACCTGGCTAACACGTTGAATAGATATACCATC